CATATCGAAAGATGTACAAGAAGAGACAAAAATACAACCGTGTTCCTAATGCAACCGATTCCGATCTACGTATGTTGAACATGAAAACCACATATACTAATTTACAGAACATGATTTTCGTTAAAAACTCATTATCTAAACCATGATCAGGATCAGTTTGTATTAACTTTCTAAATAGTGATTTCATGCTGTATCACCTCTATACTGATCACCGTCTTATACCGTCTTATCAATGCCAACTGGATTCCTCTGGCTCAGAGTACAATTTTAGAGGCATCTTTCCGAATACGGTTAAAAACAAACCTTGAGGCAATAGAACGAGCAAAATGGTCATAGCACAATAAAAATAAAGGTTCTGGATAATACGTGCAAACAACTAGTTGCGGGTACAGCAACGTGCAGTGAACTTGGACAAAGTACTGTGACTATGTGTCCCAGTCCACCCAGCTGTGAATGGATACCTCGTAAGGATGGGAAAGCCGCAATAACTCGGTGCGCCTTGTGGCAGCAAGAGTTGTATGTTCCCAGGGAGTTGAGATTGATAACACGATGTGCCGTTGAGATTGACATCCAATGATCGAGGGAAAATATACCAGCGCCTTGAGCATGCACTAGTGCGTGGATATGTGCCCTATATAAATATCCTATAATAATATATAGGCAAGAATTAATGGATGTCAACTTATTTATTTTGATGGAAACGACGTTTCGGGGTGTATTCTTACTACATCGAAATAAAGAAGTTGACATCCACGATTATTCTTTTTATTTCAACAGTGAAAACAACAATTATAAAATGTAAGGACAATCTATTTCTTTCGATAAAATCCAGCATCTGTGACATAACAGCGTCACTTGGAGGATCCAATATATTTAATGAATTAACAGTGATTTGTCAAGTACATGTGGTTGACAGATCTAGCTATTTGCTACTTTATACTGGTACCTTACATTTTGTTACATTAGATAATAGAGGTGTGACGATACAGAAATTTCACGATACGATACGTATCGCGATATCTTGGAACGATTCGATGCATATCACGATATGCTATCTTTAGTTATTTTCTTTCAAAAAGTATATTTTGATGCAAGTAACAGTGTAAAGTTGGACATAACCGTCAATTTCTGGTGAAAAATAACAATTTTAAGGTCAACGATACACATCACGATACGAAAAATAGTATCGATATATTTATCGTCAGATAAAGTATCGCGATTATCGATACTACGATATATCGTCACAGCTCTATTGGATAACCCTTTAAAAGATTAAAACCTCAGACATACATTAATGTCTGTACATCCACGTGTGTGTGTGTGTGTGTGTGTGTGTGTTTGAGAGAGAGAGAGAGAGAGAGAGAGAGAGAACTTGCGAGCTTTGAAAGTAACGATGTAAGATCGTTGAGAATACTCGTTTTAAATACAGACACGAAATAGATCATCTTTGCTTAATTTGTCCGTCCGTCTGCTTTGTAATAGTTAAGATCAGTTCGCTCCCACATAAGCGACTGATTACACATGTAAAGGGCATCACAGGACGACTCAAAAAGAATTAGCTGACGAGTGTATTTGTCAAACACATTTCCCAGAAGAGAATGTTGTGTCAAACTCTCATAGCAGAGTTGTATTTAAAGTTTGAGAAAGTGGAGATGTGCGTTAAGTGGGCGCACATCCTGGTAACTATTGACTGACGAAACTGAATCTCCTTGTGGGGCGCTGTGATTCATATTCAGAATCGGACAATTACTCGTATGTTTTCTTCTCAGCTTTACAAGTTTTACAAGCATTTCTAATAGGCTAATAACTTGTCAATAGAATGTGTACATCTGTGGAATATAAAATGTCTTAGGCTATGACCGTCATATACTTATGGCAATGATACTAGAAATATAACACAATAAATGAAAAACGACTCCACCTATTAAACCACTGGCACTGTAAGACCGATTGATCATCAACGCTGGATTCCCAAAGACCCTGCAAAATGTCAACTGCAGAGAAGTGAGAAACTGATGTCCTTACAACTAATCAGTAAAGATCAACCGAGTCTTAGCCAAGCTTATGTCTGTTGCGACCCGATGTCTATTGTCAATCGTTCCCAATGGTATGTTTGTTCAATTGATTCCCTTTCTGAACTTTAACAACATCTCTCTGGCATGAATTCATTAATGTTGTTGGCCAAACTTAGCACATAAGTATGTTTTGAAAGCAAACTTATCTTTATTTGTAATAACAGTTGGATTTAATCTCAGGAAAATTGGCTAAAGTGATTCATTTCTGTACGTGTAATTGTTAAGGCTACTATTCGTACTTCTACAATGACTGACTGACTGACTGAGTTTAGTTTTACGCCGCTTTTAGCAATATTCCAGCAATATCACGGCGGGGAACACCAGAAATGGGCTTAACACATTGTGCCCATGTGGGGAATCGAACCCGGGTCTTCGGCGTGACGAGCCAACGCTTTAACCACTAGGCTACCCCACCGCCCACTTCTACAATGAAGACAATCTAGGTATTACACAAGGTACTACGTACAAAGTATCAGGTCATAGTACAAAAAGACAACACTCGTTGGAGAATAGTCGCTGTTATACTGGTTTTAAGAAAATGAAATCCTGCTTAACATAGCATATGGATTTTTGAGATTGTATTCATATACTGGTTTAGCAACAAATGAAATCTTGCTTAACATAGCATATGTGTGTTGAGACTGGATTCTTTTACTGGTTTAGCGGAAAATGAAAACTTGATTAACATAGCATATGGATATTTGAGACTGGATTCTTTTACGGGTTTAGCAACAAATGAAATCTTGCTTAACATAGCATATGTGTGTTGAGACTGGATTCTTTTACTGGTTTAGCGGAAAATGAAAACTTGATTAACATAGCATATGGATGTTTGAGACTGGATTATTTTACTGGTTTAGCAATAAATGAAATCTTGTTTAACATAGCATATGGGTGTTTGAGACTGGATTGTCTTACTGGTTTAGCAATAAATGAAATCTTGTTAAACATAGCATACGGTGTTTGTTTGGGTGTTTAACATCACATATTCCAACCGTATGACATCTTTCTCTGAACAATCGAGCTTGAACAAGTCAATCTAGCTGAACAAATGGAAATATAATATATTCTAAAACGATACACGTTTTCTTCGAATTTAAGGTTAATCAAAGCATTTAGTCTGATTGCAGGGTGGAGATCAATTTGAAAATTAGCCATCACAACAGTGAACTTGTCATTAGTTCGTTAACGACGTTAACGTCACAATCTCAAAATGTTCGGATTAAATGCTGAGATTGTCAGCTTTTGGTATCAGTGATATACCTACAACTAATATGTTTCTAATAACCCATGAAGATCAGGGTTAGAATTGATCTTCAGTAACCCATGCTTGTCGTAAGAGGCGACTAACGGGATCAGGTGGTCAGGGTTGGTGACTTGGTTGAAACATGTCATCGTATCCCAATTGCGAAGATCGATGCTCATGCTGTTGATCACTGGTATAGGCTCGATTATTTACACACCGCCGCCATATAGCTGGAATATTGCTGAGTGCGGCGTAAAACTAAACTCACGACGACTACTCACTACGTTTCGAATGTGTGATTACTTACAAGACGGTAGATTTACATATCCACTTAGTAAGATCAGCCTGTTGAGGTGGTTAAAATCAATTTCTTTCCAAAAATATTAATCGTGTTCAGATCTGACCTTCAAGATTCCCACAATAATTGGAACGTCAAGTTTCGGAATATTCAAGCAATATAATCACAACATGGTAAGAAAGTGAGAAGTTGGTTAGAGTAGAACGGAATGAGCTAGTTTAATGCTGCTTTGAACCACTTCACAAAAGTGAATGGATGGGGTTGTAACACTTTCCTACCAATATAATGACAAGGTGGTGATACTAGATTACTGCTGTATGTGACAAAGACTGTACTACCATGACCCGTGAAGATTTGATTACAATTGGTCGTCAGCAACCAATGGAGACCCGTGAAACTCCGGGTGTTCAGTAACCCACGCTTTTCGTGAACACCTGGTGGTCAGGCTCGTTGGTTGATGCATGCCATCGCATCCCAATTGTGTAGATCCATGCACAAGATCTCACTCTCAGTCTAATACAGGCTCGATGATTTACAGACGGCTTTCAGCTTTACAGTGCGGCCAGTAGGGGAATGACAGTCTGGTCAGATATTTCATGTATTGCAGATGTTACTGCAGAGAACAATATTGAAAAATACCTTACGAAAATAAAGTAAGGTTTGCATTGTTCTACATTTTAAACGTTGGCACAAAAAAACATGATGAAAGATGGCTTGATCGACACTGGAAGGAATACTTGTCTTAAGCTCAAACGCCCTTGTAAATAATACATGTTTCAATATAGTATGTACATTTTATCCAGTTAAAACATACATTCAAAATTCATCTGTGCGTTTGCTCTTTAGAAGAATAGAGCACAGATAGTCATATATAGAAAAGCTTCGATAACCTTTTAGTGATTCGTCTGTATGTTTTATGAAAACAAATTGATATTTCATTTTACAAGAATCAAAGCCAATATAAATTGCTGGCATTTAAGAGAAACAAAATTCAAACAATAGAACAACTTCTTATTTTCTAGATAATAATTGACCGAGGTTTTGTACAGTTGATAGGTGCACCTATCGTGCATCCAATATATATAATTCCCGTTCAAATATCAATAAGGCATAAATGACCTTTCATTTTGTTATAGATCATGCTCAAGGGTAAAACATTTTATCCATTAATTATACTTTAGTCGTTTATGATATTTGGTGATGGGTTTATCTTTGTAGTATGTCAACATATCCGCATCCTCATCTTTATCCGGCGATTTTATCTGCATTGTTGGACTGCATTCCGAATTACCTGTCAACTTTTCACACATTCGTCAATACTTCTTTAACAAATGTCTTACAATGTTAGAACACAACTGTGATATCAAACAAACATACTTACCTTTAAGTCAGATTCCCTTTAGCAATGTACAGATCCCTTCACAACACGACAAGTCGAACAAGCTCCACTTGATATTAAAAGAACAGTTTAACACCATGTCACTTGACACTTTCTGTGTTCCCTGGTAACACGCAGCCCCACCATAGTCAACTGATAGACTCGCCAGTCGTGGGAAGCTCACACCAACTCACGAGCGCGTGGCTGGCGTCATTTCCTCTGTGGAACTCTTCTGTCTAAGAGAGGAAAATGTATGACATCCGGCCATTGCAACTTGCTGTGACCAAATCATGTCCATCGATTTGGTCATGCGCAACTATTGTTTCACAAAAGCTCTTTCAAATAGGAACGAAAAAGAGTATTTACCATAAAGCACGTGGTTAAAATGACATTGATATTGACTTTAAAAGACGTTTCATGTTTGATGCGGTTTAAACAGAATTCCTTGCAAATGAAATCTACGGACCAAACATGAAGTGGATTTCTTTTGGTTTTCTTGAGCTTTTTATTCCTTTTCTGTCTTCTTTTGTTATTCTTCAATTTCGAGATCATTAGTTAGAGCGGGTTAACTTAGATCAATGTATGCATTATTGAAACCTTCTCCTAAATGACCTCTGTACAGATTTCCAGCTCAGCAATATTCCAGCTATATGGCGGCGGTCAGGAAATAATCGAGTCTGACCAGACAATCCAGTGATCAACATTATGAGCACAGATACGGTGACATGGGTCAACCATGTCAGCCTGACGACCAAAGGCGCTGTCAAAGATTGATCATATTATTCAGTGCAGTGGATGCGCTCTCACTGTTGCCTTCGGTAATAAGATTCCTGACTCTTTCATCAGGCATCACTACATGTCTTGTCCAAAATCACCTGATTGGCATTTTATAACGAAAATCTCTTTAATTTAATAAGTGCCTGTTTATCGGTTTTAATTAAGACTAGCATATGCGGGAGTCCTCGAGGGTACATATCATAGAGAGATCCATTATTTAACGACAGTATGCGTTAACGGAGCGAAAGCGGTGAAACATTTATGAATACAGTAATATCATTACACATAGTGCGATAATGTGATTTGAGACATCCACAATCCATAACAGCAGTGCAGGTGTCATTTGATCATCGTCTTAAACATGCTTTATTCGTCAAGTGTTGGCATTAAATCAAACCACAGACTTTTTCTGTTGGTGTGAATGAGTTTTGTTTCAGCACTCAACAATATTCCAGCTATATGTAAATAATCGAGTCTGGACCATACAATCCAGTGATCAGCAGCATGAGCATCGATCTACGAAATTGGGATGCGATGACATGTGTCAACCAAGTCAGCGAGCCTAACCACCCAGTCCCGTTAGTCACCTCTTACGACATGGACCGGTTACTGAAGATCAATTCTGACCCGGATCTTCACGGGTACTGTATCTGCTGGAGCTTGATCTAAATGGCTACGATGAATAGTAACACTAACGCAAGCTGTTGTTATTATAGTATATTTATTTAAATAGCGCACATATCCACGAAACTGGTGCATGTTCAAGGCGCTGGTATTTTCCCCTCGATCATTGGATGTCAATCTCAACGGCACATCGTATTATCAATCTCAACTTCCTGGGGAGTATACAACTCTTGCTGCCACTAGGCGCACCGAGTTATTGTGGCTTTCTCATCCTAACGAGGTACCCATTCACAGCTGGGTGGACTGGGACACATAGTCACAGTACTTTGTCCAAGTTTACTGCACGTTGCTGTACCCGCAACTAGGTGTTTGCAAGTATTCATGTGGCCACCTTCTGATCATATACCAACGGATTCGTGGGTTCTTTTAAGTGCACAGGGTTGTGTACTGTAAACTAGGGGTTGTGACAACACTGGAAGAGTCTGCACACAAAGTTGACTCCAAGGTTTTTTACACCCGGTCACATGTGGGCTCGAACCCGGCACCTCAACCTCGCTGGATCACTAGCTGGATCACTAGCCTGGCGCCTTAGCCAGTGCGCCCACCGCGACCCCTGTTGTTCCATGTCACTAAACGCGGTGATCATTGACACAGTTCCATGTCTGTCCTCAAAGGTCCAGAACAAATTACAAATTAAGTTTATGAGCAAACAATATGTGAATGATGTACTTCCTCGCAGATAACATAGACGTAGGTTTGGGATTGGGCATGTCAGCATAAAGTAGTTTCAGCAAGAAGTAGTATATTGCATGATCATATCTTATCTTCACCCTTACCTACCTCTGAACTGCCTTATCTGTTTACTATTATGCATTTAGGTCCATGCATAATGACTGATAGTGACCAACAAAAATCTACAAGACAACATAACAAGAGGGAGTTCTTAAACTTTCAATAATATAATTTCACCTCGTGTAGAGCAATCATCCATTGATGATATTTCACAACAAGTATGTGCTTGACCGTGAGAGTGCGTGTTCGAATCCAACCTAACAAAAGTACTAGAATCTATACTTTACAGAGAAAAAGTAACCCCAAATATAAACTATGATAGATTTGACCGCTTTCTAAATGGCAACTTTTACGCATCGTTGACAAAAATGATGTCCGATGCGATAGTTTTTCTATTTTGACCGTATGTCCCCGTGGTGTTTTGTTTTCGGGTAAACAACAAGTAATTGAGATGTTTTTAATGTATGTTGCTTGCATTAATTATCATTATGATCATGAAAAAGGTTGTTCATTTAATTGAGTTGGTATATACCGTTCAGTAGTAAGAATGCGTCTGCTTCCTTGGTCCCCGGCAATCGATATTTCATCTAAACACACGCAAAAACAACCATTTCCATCATCATTAGAAGCACTACTGAAAACAGGGTCGTACGACTCAGACAGTATCATATGTTTATGAATCATTATCCAATAGCAATGATGCCCTGAATTCTCACAGTCCACTACAATGGTGAATTAATCCTCATCGAATCTATGCTTGTCATAAAATCCGACTATATGGATCCTGTGGCGAGGGTCTGACTTGGTAATACTCAGACCATAATCGGTACAAACAGATTTATACATGCTGTATCATTGTCACTTCAAATGGGAAAACTAACAGCAGGGGATTGTCACTACAAATAGCAAAATGAGGAGACAAAATTTGTTCCACATCCACAAGAAATATCTGACAAGAGCAGAGTACAATTGTGCGATATTTACTATGTCAGGCGTGTGTTTTTCAATCACTATTAAGTAGTGATGGTACGGTTAAGTGATCGCGCCAGGTGTTCATGATAGGTGGGCGTATTCTTCCACAGAGACATGCAAAGGCTAGTCAATTGTTCACCTAAACATTTCATGAATACCACTCGACATACACGGCAGATTGACGAAACTAGCTATTTGATGTCAATCGAACATATTCAAATCTTCTATATACCTGAAGTTTAACTTTAGATTTTTTGGTGAAATGACATTGTCTTGATTTTGCTAACCCGAGCAAACTATCTACTTAACTTAAGATCCACAAAAATCCACAGTTGGTGCCAATAGGGATGCCTACTTCTTATATTAAGTATTTATTCATGTTTATCATGCAGGATAGTGGTGTACAACGTAGAAAACGCAATATGTATCACTAATGCTGCAAACTTAAGAAACACATGATTGCCACTGCAAATAGAAATATAAAACTCGGTGATTATCATTGCAGGTGGAAGCAAACAAGCTCTGTGATTAATTCTGCAAATATAGATATCAAGACCAGTTGACTATCGTTGCAAATCCAAATATCCAGATTAGATTATAATCAGTGCGAACGGACAACCACGACTAGTTGTTTAGCACTACAAATGGAAAAACCCAGAGTAGATAGTTGTCGCAGCACATAGACCTTCACCGTCACACAGAGACTATCCCTACAAATGGAAATATCAAAACTTAAAGGATCAGCTTTGAAAATCCAAATGCAAGGTTACATGATAATCACTGCAAATATGAATAAACAGAGTAAACAAGTGTCTCTTGTTTCTTTTTATAAAGGGTTGGTGGGGTAGCCCAGTGGATAAAGCATTCGATCGTCACGCCGAAGGCCCGGGTTCGATTCCCCACACGGGTACAATGTGTGAAGCCCATTTCTGGTGTCCTCCGCTGTGATATTGCTGGAAGCGTCGCAAAACCCAACTCACTCACCCAGTCACTTTTTTTATAAAACCGATACATGCATGAAAAATGCTTGTACATTCACACATAAAAAATACGAATAATCTTACAGACACAAAGCTTAAGTGGCATTAAGGATTCCAACAAAACACAAAGTTCTTATGTAAAACATGCGTCACTATTAAAATATTTTGACATGTGAGCTGTATTTTACATTATGCATCTGATATATGAAACAGAAACAAAATTATTCCCTTGTTTTCGTTTAGAGACAAGGTCGACATCATAATCTGGGAAACGGAAACGGGGGTGAGTGGGTGGCCTCGTCTGAGGCTTAACAAAATCTTCACTCATGTATGTTCTACCTGAACATAATGAGTACGGGATTGCAAAAAATATTATAAATGGCTGATCACTTATGGTTTGGTGCCCTATATGGGTGATGTGTGGGCAAGGAAGTATACATGCACCTCGTAGATCCAGAGGGACCCTCTAGTTGAAAGTTCAAGAGATGTGTTCATAATCTCCTATCGCCTTCCTCCTCGACCTTAGCCAGTAATAACACATCCTTTAGCATACACCGTTATCTTATAATAAACGTTGTCGGGATGTATACAGGCATACGCTACTGTCATCTGGGGAAACGCCTAAGTCAAACGCAATTTATTAAGATTATGTTATTATCATATCCTACAAAACCTTGCCAGATGCTACAGACACGTGTGTACGTATAGGAATGTACCACCTGTCCAATGACGCAATAATCTAAGTGTGCTTCACAGTCTTAAAATGATTCATTTTTATCATCGCAGATGCAGTATTATTATAGCTCACTGACGAATGGCTCGAAAGATGATGCATCAAAGTTCGACAAAATAAATAAACATTTTTTAGTTCATTTTGCAATGCATTTTCTTGTTTTGGCTCTGTTTTCCATTTTAAACAGAAGAAATAGGACAGAGCTACGAGGAGACAAGAACACAGAAGAAATTGGATAATATGATAAAACAAATCTAATAGGCGTTTGTTTGTTT